AATTAACTGAACTCCACTCAGATTCGTTTCTCGTTAACAACGATTGATTGTTGCGTACAGATATACGTCAGTGGCGTAACTAGAATTTCTAATGCCCGTGGAAAAATAACCAAATGTGCGGGACCAATTTACTCAAACCGGAGCATAAAAGGCCATTGGCTGTTTTCATACATCTGTCTGCACACCTCATAATACTTAAGAATTAAAAAAAGGCCACCACCCAATCGGTACACCATTGATATACATTCAATAGTTTCCTCTCTGCCTTCCCAACTTCTCACCTACAACAGTGGCCTACCCACGTGCAAAGTATGTTCGTCTTCTTTTCGTACGAATTTAAAAAGCAAATATTTTAAAATAGAATCGTTATAACAGTAGTCGAATCGCAAAATAAATCTAATTCGAATTACGGTACAACATAAATTATGTGTATTGAATATAATATTAAAGAATTGTGTTGTACGATACTTGACCCGTGCAGTATAACTGCACCCTGTCCGTAAATACTCGACCTTTGATGACTTCCTATTGACGCGCGTTATTTGTACGTATTCGAGTGTTCCGAAGTTGGTCAAAGGAACGACGAGTAGTCGGATTAATACAGCCGTGTTCCTGTACGGGGAATAACATCTTTTTAGACCATCATACACCTATTTATAGTCTTTGATTCCTTTGTAAAGTAAGTTTTGAACAATATTTACATACCTATATATATATATAGTTAGCGAGTAAAACGAAACGTGAGTTTTCGTCGCATCATCTCTCGTCTCGTCTCGTATTATATTATATTATTTTTTTTTTTTTTGATTTATCGAATAGGCGCTTTTTATTGTAGCTTATTGCTTTTTAATAATATCCAACCAAACAGAAATAAATTTAAAAGTAAATATAATAACGACTGTTTACTACGTTTTTGATGCTGCATTTATGGATCGTACAATATTCGTTTGCTTTATGATGTTTCATCTTTTTCAAACCGTTACAACGCGCAATTGATATTTTATTAACAATTTTACATATTATTTGATTATTCGTTTTATTCGTTTGTGAAATGCGTAATAAGAATTTTATTAAACCGTAAGACAATGCATATTGGTGGCTGTATAATATATAATGCAGGGTCTCACTCAAATGGTAGCACGGAATATTTCGTCCGGATGGACTTTGATTGAAATGGATTTTGTTATTTTTTGGAAGACGTAAATACCAAAAGTATTTGTAACACCAGATGGTTAAATTTTTTCATGCGATTTCAATTTTTTTTTTCCATCTCAATTTGAGATTTGAATTTCCTGAAATTCAACCATATAAAGTTCATTAAAAAATTTGATATTCATTTAAACAAAAAAATGTAAAACCCATTACGAATTTAAAAATGAAAAATACTATACCATTGTTTTATTTTATTTTTTTGAGGGGGGGTAGGGAAATTACCAGTAAAGATTATCCTTAACATTCGGTCCTAGATATATTTCACATTTTTCGAAAATTTCGGAACAATATTTAAATTAAACTTTAAAGAAAAATGCTTGAAATAAAAAAATAAAATATAGGATTGAATCTTACGCTAAAACAAAGACGTTTCAATCTAAGAAATTGCGCGTGAAAAAAAAAATGTATTAATTGTTATACTATGCACTGTTATAAAAGTAATATAAACTCATTTGATTAGGTTTGTCCATTTTTGTATATTTTAAAATAGTGTACGGTGATCATATTGAATGCGAATCTATTTCAGATCATGATCATAAAGTCAGTGACATAAAAAAAAAATTTTAAATTTATATATAAATGGAATTTTAAATTATGGACCATATACGTAATATAGTATAGTCACCTTATCTGCAGTTTACAAAAGCATTGTATTTACTGATATTAATAGGACTGCAATTTTTTTTTTTTTTTTTCCCGTTGACAAATCGATATTTCATGTCTCTCGAACGCGCGTTCGTCTGCAGCTATCAAGAAACTCTTAATTAAAAAAAAAAAAAAAAAAAAAAAAAAAAAATAACCGGAAAAAATATAAATAAGAAACGGGAAAAGGCGTCATTTTCCCCTACCCGCAGCATAAAATTAATTACAATTCATCAGTCTGTTAATTGACGACCCAATTAATTCGGCGAGACTCGATTACGGTTGACACTTTTTTTTTTTTTTATTTCCCCCAGAACACCGGGAGGGGGAGTCTGCAGCTTCTGCAGTATTTTTTCATACGCCAAGAATCATCATTATTCCTCTTCCTCGGCGACGTGCTGCAGCGCTATCGTTTCAATTACAAGAGGCCTTTCGATTCTAATTTGAATATTAAAAAGGCTCTTCGGTATAATATATATAGGGGAGCAGACTCAAGTAAAAATGGCCAGAGGATTTCCCCCCGCCGCCACCGCCGCCGTCGCGCCGTCAGTGTTTCCGATTCATTACTGTCAATGGAAATTTCAGGCTCACGATAGGAACACTGCAGTTACATTATGAATAAAATAACAAGTGTAACGGTATACCACCGAACTTCAACCGACTGCAGAGCCAAAAATGTAATTGGTTTTTTTTTTTTTTTTTCATAACTTTATCGTTTTGTACGCATATTATTCGTACGCACGGTTCGTTAGATACTGTATCGTTTCTATATATTCAATTATGATTACGGTCGTACCGAAAAAGACTTTTTTGCCGATTCGGCCGGAAAGTCCGAAAGACTTTTGTCACCGATTCGATATCGTTTCGTTTCGCGCCACCGTCATATTATTTATTCGGTGATCCTGCTCGGAAAGTAAATTTTGGGTGGTAATAGCACTATAATTGCATTCGAGGGACCCACGAGACGTTACGACATAATCCTTCCCCGAAAATCTGTAAGCCTCGTATGAACCGAATTCGAAATCCGAGTGGCCGTAAAGACTCAATACAGGAAAATCCGTTGAACAGACGCTGGAGCATGAATAACGCACAGCAGATTGAAGAACTACTCCATAAACCTTTAGGATATTGACCCCCCCCCCGAACATTATGAACATCAGTGTTGATAGAATTAGACGTATTTCTACGTAGCGACGATGCGTATAGACGAGACTTGCCTTCTAGCAAAATTTTACGGGGGATATTAATCCACAAAAGTATGGAAAACGCGATCTAATTGCTAGACGTCTGTCTATATTATGAAGTAAATTCCACTGACATCAAAAACCATCCAGATATCATGAAATTCTTAGTCGTATACGATACTATTGTGTCGTATACTGTTGTTAGTATTGTAAATTTTAATCAGGTTTCAGTGGACTACAACCCAATCATACGACCAAGTACTAATTGTGGCCCGGGTTCAATTATGCGCGAACTGCGAATTGTAGTCACAGGATAATCGTCATTTCATATCGACATATAAGCTTTGTTCAGCAAGAGACAACACGGAGGGGAGGTTTAGTCGTTTTCCGAAAATTTGTGTTCTTTTTCTTGGTCGAAAAATATGTTTTCCTTATGGAATATTTATTTAATATTAATTATACTACTTGTAGTATGGTACCACTGTTTATGCGTTATCAATAGAGGCTATGATAACATTTTTTAAAATTATTTTATCATTTCTCATTTCTGTAATTTGGTGTTTTAATTAACTATTTATTATTATAAAAATCAAACCCGAACTGTATATTCGTGGATAAAGATCAGGAATGAGTTCATTAAGCCGAACCCTATTGACTTAGAAGGGAATCTTCAAGACAATTTTTGAAGATTAAGACAGGAAAAAAAATATATTACAATGATAATATGTTATTAAAAAACTAATAAAATATTTTAGTTAAAAAAAAAACACAAATATATTACAATATTCCATACATTGATGATAAAATAATGATAATAATTTACATCATTAACGGAGTGTTTTGTGTTTCAGTCTGTGTACGACCCACGCACCTGGAGTTGTGCATGGAAAATCACAAGACGAATGTGTCACGTTTGGAGTAAGATCAACAAAATACGCACTTAATCGTATGTCTCACTGTCCAATTCCCACGGAACTGAAATATTGACAAATAACATGGAAAATCCGTAAAGATATTACAACACGGACGGATAAGCTTTGCACGATGGGCGGGCTACTGTTGTAGGTGAGAACACGTGAATATAGAATATACAGTGCAATTCAATGTGTATCTGTACGCAACGATAAGACATTGCTAACGAAAGACAATTCTGAGCGGTTTTCGGTTATAATTGTTTTGAAAAACTTTTCTCTTTACGTTCGATACTGCTAACTGAATTTCATTTATTAAGTCCAAACAGACTTCAATATATTTGGTTTCAAAATTCACAAAATGCAACCTCGCTCGTTCAGAATCTGTGCAAATGAATTTATCTTGTTTTCATTTTTGTTTTCGTCATCGTATCAACGATATTGGCCGCATAATAAAAACGTCTAAACTATACTGTTGAATAAGGTAATCGATAAAAAAAAGACCAAGGAAAAAAAGAACACGGAAAAAAAGTACAACAATTTTAAAATTTTAAATATATTAATTAATTATGAAAATTAAAAATATTTTTTTAAAAATAAAATGTTTGAACGTATTGAAATATAGGAAATATATTTCTTATGAAAAATGTTGGTTTTTTAATCGTGAATGAAAATTATGTGAAAAAAATAAATTTCAAAAAAGGTAAAATTGTTCAAATTAATGAGTGGTTGCAATATGTCTTTCATTCCTTTAACTCGTTGAAATTACCAATACAGACATTTTCATACATTCATGCTATTATTCGAGCGAACTAAATTTAGTCTTTCAAAAGTCACTAGAGTATTTTAAAATATATATAAAATAAAATTTATTATATTTATATTATAATGATATCATTTTTTTTTTTTCATTAAAATGATAGTCAATAAAGTGATAATCAATTGTTACATTCAAAATCTTAGAATTGTCGTTCTTTTTTTCCGGTGATTCGTTTAATAGTATGCTGTCTTTGTGAGCCAATCACCTATGTCTATTGCGAATTGTTTAGCATTATTCGAGTTCCCCTAAAAATTCCAATGTTTCCGGAAGTATTGTGGTTTTAGGCATCCTTTTTTCTTCGGTGATCGATTTGTGTTGTTGTGGCTTGTGTTTAACGCCGTTCGAATAACGACATGATATATTTACATGTTTATGGTACGCAGATTGACGAGCTTGTGTTACTTCGGAGTTTTGGACACGACTCGGTAACTCGACATAAACTGCAGTAATAGCCATTAATAATAAGGGATAATTTTTTCCGAAAGGTTTTTACACGTTTTGCTATTTAATATTACAATGATATTGATTCGCATATAACGAGTATATAGCACGTGTTGCGCGGTTTTGATCGTATTCGATAACGAAACGAGGTTCAAAGACGATCGGCGAAAACGGTGAAAAAAATATTATGTCAAGAAAAATACGTTACCCGCGCATTTGTCGCGAGCACGCCTCCATTGGATTGTCGTCGTCGGGTCATAAAAATGCGGTGCGGCGTTTGCGATTGTTTTTTTAGAGGTTTTTTTTTTTTTTTTTTTTTTTTAAATGTTAAACACCCCAAAGTTTTTCACGACCGTCTCCCTTCCCCTAAATATAGTATAGTAACCGCTGCCATCGCCCGACGACTACGCTGTGTACTTCGGGCGAACGCGATGTAATAATAACTCAATTACACACCTAGATCGCCGCCGCCACAGCCCGAAGGAGGGTTCGATTCGTAAAATTCCGTCTTCAATCAAAAACTAAATGAGGTGAAATCAGGACAAATAAAAAGCACTCCTCTTGCAATTCGCCACGGTTTATTATTATTTTTTTATTTTTAAAATCGTTATTTTTTACGCGCGTTTCCCTTAAGCAGTGAGAAAGACAGAAAGAGAGAGTCAGAGAGAGTGAACGAGCGAAAGAAAAACATCTTATTTAAAAGTCGTTTCAATCAGAAAAACGTGAGTGCGCGGCGGCGGCAAGAGTAAAAAAAAAAAAAAAAAAAACTAAACGGGCTGGTAAATGGAAATAAGTTTAATTGACCGAAAAATGAAACTTTTCGGGGGCCTTTTGTTTCAATTAGTTTGCGCCGAAGAAATAAATTAAATACCGCGCTGCTGGCGTATATCAAAGTGATTTATTTCGCGGATAACTAAAGCCGTTCTCCGCGCAGCTTTTTCACCGGGGTATTTTTTGTATTTTTTTTTTTGTGTATTTATTTTTATTTTATTTTTTTTTTTTTGCGTTTTCGTACGGTATCGACCTCCGTCCGCGGCGGGCGCGCGAGCCAAAACCAATTCCGGACGTAATAAGTCAAAAAATTACAAAACTGAAAAACAAAAGGCTTTGACTGCGCGGCCGAGTCGAGCGAAAAAAATATATATATATAAAAAGTGTATACCGATATATACGTATATATTTGTATATATATATATATATATATATACGCCGTATAATGTTTAAATGTACGTACCGGATCCCGTATATATTATATCGTGTTATTATAATAATAATATACGAGCGGTTTGCACGCGGATATACGAAAGGCGATTTTCGATTTCGGTGGGATGTGTTCGGTGGGGGGAGTTGGGGGTTTTCTGGGGGGACGGCGGGCGGGCGAAAGGGACAAGGGACGGGCCGGCCGGCCGGCAAAAGGTCCCCGTCGCCGCGTGTCTGTGCGTCGCGGGGACAGCAGCTGACGGCGGCGGCGGCGGCGGCGGCGGCTGTTTCGCATCGCGTATGCGGTATAATTAATAACAACAATGTTCGAAATTCAAACGCCCGCGTATAAATTAATATTGTACGCCTAATACGCGCGCGCGGGTACGTCGGTGCGGGCGTTTAAAAGCCGCGCGCGAAACCTGCGGCGCGCGACTCGTCGCGGTCTCGATACGATAATTACACGAACGATCGCGTAACGATAATAATAATAATAATAATAACGACGACGACGACGACGACGACGCGTAACGCGCCCGATAATACGCGCGCGGATTCCGCCGCTCGCCCCCGCCGACAAAGACGCCTGGTCCCGGCGGTTGTTTACGGTTCGACGGTACGTAAATGCGAGCGCACTCGCCGGGGCAGGTAAACGAAACGCGTACGCAATATTATCGCCGTTGCCGTTATTGCGCGTACCGATTTCGGCGGCGACAAACGACGGCGTTAATTAAAAGGGTTAAACGCCGCCGCCGCCGCCGGATCGGTCGGCGATGAAAATCCTCCGCCGCCTCCCCCCCCGGCCCCCACCCCTGGGTTCGCAGTCGATTATCGCGTACGGTTCGGTACCGACGGTTTACGCGGCGCGCGAACAAAGCGCGAACCGATTGCAATGACGTTCGGGAGCGTTGTCCCCGGGTCCCGTCGTACAACGCCGGCCGCGATAACGACGATAATATCGATTACCGCGCGATGCGGGCAATGTCACCGCGGTTCGGATCGTACAAATTCACCGACCGCGGCGGCAATGTAACAAGAAAAAAAAAACAATATCCGCTTGACGCGTGTTTCGATCGCAGCGAGATTCCCGGGAGAAAATTCGTTTGCGGACGGTAATAATCGAAAACACGCATCGTAAAAGCATCGAAACCGGCGGACCTCTCGCTTTCGTCGTTCGGGATCCGAAACAAAACGAAACCGATAGTGCGGCCGAAATCGTTATCGCGTAAATATTTCCCGTTCGGCCGACGGGAGAAAAACCCGTTTTCGAGGAACTCGGGCGGATCGAGCAATACGAACGGGAAAATACTGCGAGCTGCACGCGCCAATGCAAAATGTAACGTTTTTTTTTTTTCGTAATCGCATTAACGTTATTGTTAACATTAACATTAGAAAGTCTTCTGGATTGCTCGTCTTGATCCTTCGGTTTCAACTGGGAACCCTAACCGGACGTGTCCGTTGACTTAATAATATTACACGATTGTTCCGCGTTACCCTCGACACGTTTATTTATTTTATCATTCAAACTTCAGCGTTTGACTCGTTTTGGACTTTTAAATTTGTAAAAATAATTTATAATATTCATTACTGACGTTTCTGACTAATTTTTCTCGATTTTTTTTTTTTTCCCCTCGCCGACATAATAATATTATGTTTATCGTTTTATCTTGAAAATACGAATTTTTTCGGTCGACGGCCGTCAACGAAAAAGTTAAATCCTATGGGTTTTATGCGTTTATGATTTTATTGCTCGCGTTGATTTTCAACGAGAAATATCGTCGTTCGCCTGTTTTTCGGCGCAAACGAACAAAAACTTATTATAATAATGTACAGTAAACGACGTTGCAATCGCGCGGGTATTTTAATCGTCCGGAAACGTTCGGTTAATATGATATATACCTTGTTGTATTATATATTGTAATGCAGAAACGAGAGTGCGGTAAAATTTAAAAACAAACATTTTTCGTCCGACTACAAATAATCCACTTTTTTGGATTTTCCTGTGCGCGTGTTTCCTGTTAGGTGAAACGATTTTTTCATACTGGAAATTTTGCCTGCGGTTTTCAATTTCAGGGGCGGCATCAAATTTGGTTGGTAGCAAATTTTGTCGATTTGGTGCGTTAAGAAGGTTACTGTTTCGATATCAATTGTATTTTTACTAAATGGGTGCAAACACCGGGGAAAACCGTCGAAAACGGGAAAACGTACGCAACAACGGTTTCTGTTACCATGATTTTTGTTTCGCTGTTCATTTAAAAATAATCGCAGTGACGTGCAATTTTCACAATATACTCGAAATCGCATAATTTTTCGAAACATTTATAGCTGTTTGCAATTTTCGCGTTTTTATTTGGGTTTTATTATGTAAATGTTCAAAAATTCGAAACGTTTATATTATCGTAATTCGTTCTTATAGCAGCATAAAAATATCGAAAATTTCCCGGCACGATTTTCTAATCTGAGTCCTAAAATGTCTCGAGTCACAAAAATATCCGCTCTCTTAGCCTTTTAAAACACGTTCAAAAAATTTTGAATTTAAAATTACCGTGAACGCGTGTAACCGAAATTCGCTCAGAAATGGGATTTTATTTCTCTTTAAACTAACATTTTCCACGAACACGTATACCTTTGTAATGCACACGTGAAAACTATAGACGTTGTAGACTTGCACGTTTCAAACGGTAGCGCGTCATTATGTTGGCGCATAGTTTACGTCAAAGACGTTCCGTACGCGCGTCGACGTGACCTGAAAATCGTGGTACGAGTATATCGTAAAGGGGGAGGGAGTGTGGGAAAAAAAAAGTTCATGTGTTTCTGAAAAGTTGAGAATTGTTTGACAGAGTTATTCGCCCCCGAAAGACTAGCGTAGGTATACCGGGTACTTGTTTTTACCCGTTAGTGACGGGGAGCAAAATAAATCTAACGACATTCCGACTGCAGATTAGCGTCGAGAAATTTCAATCGCGATAATAACAACTAATTTTTATGTAAAACTACTAGTTTCGTAAAAATTACTTCAAAAAGTACTGTACTTTTCGCTATTCGGTCGAAATGTATGAATTAAAAATGTTCATTCCAATAATAAATTTGAAGGAACTTGATTTTTGTTAAATATGCATATCAATTTAATAATGACATAATATCATTATAAAATATTTGTAATTCCTGTCTGATTCTTCAAAAATTGTCTTCAAGATTCCCTTCTAAATTAATTAAGGGTGTTCGGCTTATTGAACTTATTCCTCATCTTTATCCGCGAATATCCAGTTCGGGTTTGATTTTAATAATAATAAATAGTTAACTAAAACACCGAAACACTGAAATGAGAAATGATAAAATAATTTAAGAAAAATATAACCATAGCTTCTATTGATAACGCATAAACAGTGCTACCATACTACAAGTAGTATAATTAATATTAATATATTAATACACGTAATGATCATAATCCAATTCAATATAATCATAAAATAATTTTCGTAAGTTTAACGATTACCGAGTTATAGGAAAATCGGCGAAAGGGTCGATTATACCCTTTTTTGGGGGGTTGGAGAGCTATGCTCGGGAGGTAGGTGTCAGGACTTGTAATACGTTCAATGGAAATATACGCTCTAAACGAATATCCCATAAAACATTAAGGATGAGGGCTACCATTTTTGTACGTTTGAAAAAAAAGACGGACATACTTTGCACGTGGGTGGGCCACTGTTGCATGTGAGAAGTTGGGAATGTATAGTGGAGAGGAAATTTAATCATTGTAAATCGGAGCACAATTGTTCGCAGGAAAAAAAAAAGGGCCGAAATATTTTTCAATT